AGTCTCGTCCTGCGTCGCCTGTTCGTCCTCCTCGCACTGGTAGTCGTGTCCGTCGTGAGCGTCCTCCTCCTGTCCCAGGCACTCACTACATGACTCTGCGTCCCTCTACTGCTCCTCAGCGTGTCCCTCTACCGTCTCCTCCTGCGTCCTCTTTGCCTGACGTTCCGGACCCTGAGTCTGACCGGTATCGTGCTGAGCACCCTACTGTCACGCGTCTCCTTGCTACTGTTGTCACTGACCCTACCTTTGAGTCCTCGGCTGCGTCTGCTCTGGTCGCTGAGTTGGTTGACTTTGCTGCTGCCTGTCGTCTAGACTACGCTGCTAGCCTTGTTGCTGAGTCTGAGTCTGAGTCTGTCTGTCCTCCGTCCGTCGGGGGTGAGTGTGCTCTTGGCACGGACGTCCTTGAGGACAGACAGGAGGAGTTCCAGTGTCTTGCTGCTGCTTTGCCCCGTCTCGTGTCCTTGCTAGTTGCCCCTGAGGGAGACCCGGATGCACCAGACATCCCGACCCCGCGCACTTACGCTGAGGCGATGGCGGGTCCCTACTCCTCTCAGTGGCAGACAGCCATGGACGCCGAGATGGCTTCCTGGAAGTCCACACGCACCTACGTCGACGAGGTTCCCCCTCCTGGGGCGAACATCGTCAGTGGCATGTGGATTTTCAGGGTGAAGCGGCCGCCGGGTTCTCCGCCTGTCTTCAAGGCGCGTTACGTGGCTCGAGGCTTCAGTCAACGAGAGGGAGTTGACTTCTTCCAGACCTTCTCCCCCACCCCGAAGATGACTACTCTTCGGGTGCTGCTGCACATAGCCGCTCAGCGCGACTACGAGCTTCACTCACTTGACTTCAGCACTGCTTTCTTGCAGGGCAGCCTGCACGAGGAGATCTGGCTGCGCCGCCCACCTGGCTTTACTGGGTCGTTTCCTCCTGGTACCCAGTGGAGGCTTCAGCGGCCGGTCTACGGTCTCCGCCAGGCTCCGCGTGAGTGGCACGACACACTGAGGACTACACTTGCGGCTCTTGGGTTCGCACCTTCTACAGCTGACCCGTCGCTGTTCCTGCGCACCGACACTTCGCTGCCGCCGTTCTACATCCTCGTGTACGTCGACGACTTGGTCTTTGCCACTGCTGACACTGCAGGACTCGCCTACGTGAAGTCGGAGCTGCAGAGGAGACACACGTGCACAGACCTGGGTGAGCTGACAAGCTATCTTGGCTTGCGGATCACCCGGGACAGAGCACGGCGCACCATCACCCTGACTCAGTCACACATGGTGCAGCAGGTTCTCCAGCGCTTCCGCTTCACGTACTCCTCGCCTCAGTCCACTCCTCTGCCTACCGGTCACTCGCTCTCAGCTCTGCCTTCGGATGAGTCCGTAGAGCCGAGTGGCCCGTATCCAGAGCTTGTGGGCTGCCTCATGTACCTGATGACCTGCACTCGACCTGACCTTGCATACCCTCTTAGCATCCTTGCACGCTATGTCGCTCCTGGCCGTCACAGGAAGGAGCACATGGATGCCGCTAAGAGGGTGTTGCGCTACTTGTGCAGTACGTCGGGCATGGGGCTTGTGCTTGGAGGGCGAGACCGAGTTGTTCTCACAGGGCACTCAGACGCTTCTTGGGCAGACGACCAGGCCACTCAGCGGTCGTCTCAGGGTTACACCTTCAGTCTTGGCTCTAGCTCAGTTTCTTGGCGCTCTACACGCTCTTCTTCTGTTCTCGGCTCCAGTTGCGAGGCTGAGATCTACGCTACAGCCATGGCTGCCCAGGAGCTACGCTGGCTGACCTACCTGCTGACCGATCTCGGAGAGCCGCCTCGTTCTCCTCCAGTACTGTACGTCGACAACAAGGCTGCCATTGCCTTGTGTGAGGAGCACAGACTGGAGCACAGAACGAAGCACATCGCCCTGCGGTACTTCCTTGCTCGTGAGCTGCAGCAGCGCGGTCAGCTTTGTATTCGCTACGTGGCCACTGAGGCCAACACTGCTGATGTGTTCACCAAGGCACTTCAGCCTCGTGACCATCAGCGCTTCTGCACTCTACTAGGCCTTGTGCCTACTGGACCTCACCTGCTTACCTCTTGACTTTGCTTGTACTGTGATCACTATATATATCTATACCTGCATGTTTACTCTTGCTAGGTTGTGATCACTGTATCTCTTGCTCTGTTATAAACCTGCATGTGAACTGGTCTTGTGACCGCTTGCTTGTGCTCAGAATTTGTGTGGTATCCTTGAGATCCACCCTGAGCTTGTTTTGCTTTGCTTTGACTGGTCTTGTGACCCCTTGCTCTCCCCCACTTTGCCTATGGGGGTGTGTCAAACATTATATATGTTGTGTTTGTTTAGGCTACAGTGGGTTAGCCTATAGGGGGTACACAATTCTAGGGTTTGGTACTTGTACTGCTTTCACTCATAGTTCAATCATTCCAGTCCGTTATTACTGACACTAACCAAACAGCTAAATTTAGGGACAGAATCTGTTATTGAGCGTAACGCTGTTTGCGCGCATGCGCGGACAAATTGCCCATTCGTACGCACTCGCAGAGGCCACGCCAACTTAGACAAGGCCGCCCCACACCTCCTCTCGCTGCCTCACCGCGAGGCCATTAGCGACAGCGCCTCCCCTCCCCACAGAGTCCCGTTTAGCCTCGACGCGCTAGCATCTGCCATCCCATCCCGTCCTCCACTCCTAGCTCACCGCCCGCCGTTCGCCGCGCGAGGTTAGCCGCTGCTTCCGCTCGCCGCTCGCGTGCCCTCCCTTTCGCGTTCGCCTCCCCGTGCGATCTCCTCTCGCTTTCCCCGTGCGGGCTCCTCACGCCTCCCTGCGCGCTCGACTCTCGCTTTCCCCGCGCTGCCTCCTCTCGCCTTGCCGCGCGGCCTCCTCTCGCCTTGCCGCGCGTTCTCCTCTCGCCTCCCCGCGCGTTCTCCTCTCGCCTCCCCGCGCCTGCTCCTCTCGCCTCCCCGCGCCTCCTCCTCTCACCTCCCAGCGCCTCCTCCTCTTGCCTCCCCGCGCTCTCCTAACGCCTTCCCACGCGCGCGACTCTCGCCTCTCGCCTCCCCGCGCTCTTTTCTCGCCTCCTCGCGCTCTCCTCTCGCCTCCCCGCGCTCTCCTCTCGCCTCCCCGCGCGTGCGACTCTCGCCTCCCCGCGCGGCCTCCTTTCGCCTCCACGCGTGTCCTCCTCTCGCTTTCCCGCGCATGCGAGGCCTAGCCAGCGTCGTTGGCTTCACCCTGCCTCCCGTCGCTGCCTCTCCGCGTCTCGCGGCGGCCTCCTTTCACGAGCTGCATTCAAATAAGGCCCTCGGCCCCCTCTCACTCTCTTGCAACGGCTGTGCTTCCGCATCCCCGCTGCACGCCCTCAAAACCCCCCTTGAACGCCCTCACTTCCCCACGTGTATGCCCTCGTTTTCCCTCCCTGCTTGCCCTCGTTTCCCCACCTTGCACGCCCTCATTTTCTCCCTTGTACGCCTTTTTTTCCCCCTTGCACGGTCGCATTTCTCCCCCAGGTGGCTGGGCGGTGGCTGATGCTTTCACCCAATCGACATGGCGCAAGGTGAGGGGTGGAGGTAGTGGGCGGGGGACGGGAGAAGTGGTGAGGGGGGGTGGGTAGGGGGCAGGCAAGGGCCAAGCAAAGAGGAAGGTAGGGAGGAGAATTTGAAGTGCGATGAGGCTGCTGTCCATGCGCTCCCTCGTGCTCGTCTCTGCCATCCAGAGCCCCATCCTTGCCTTGCCGTCCCCAACCCCACCCTCTCCACCCAGGTGCCGCGAAAAGACACGCTTATCTCCCTTAGTTCCATTCTTACGTCCCATCTCCCCTCCCTCCCTTCCTATCTCCTTCCCTTCCTGCCCTTCCCTTTCTGCCCTACCCTTCCTGCAATTCTTACCCCTCGCATACTTCCATTCCTTAGTAGTTTTTCACATCCCTGCCTTCCCATCCACATCCCTGCCTTCCCTCCTCACATCCCTGCCTTCCCTCCCATAGGTTCGGGGCCCCACTATTTACGGTTGCAACACCACGTGTCATACAGCCAGTATGCATACGCAAAACTGCAGGTTTTGCATGCAATCCTGCTAAACACAGGGCAATGCCAGGCCCGGGCAATTTTGGCGACATGAAGGGAGGAGCAGCAGGCCCAAGAGTTTGGGGGGGGATGAAGGCGACACAAAGAGTAGTGGAAGGTGCTGTCTTGTACGGTGTTTTGCGATGATTTTATCATGCTCCTCTCAAGCTTCTCTTCTCTACATCAATGCTGTGCTGTGCCCATTTGAAAGAACAGAGGTCACATGACAACCATTGGATTCCACATTGTAGACTGAGATTACTACTTCACTGTGCTCCATGCTGCACAGAGCAGATATTGAGTAAAGATGATCTGCAAATCCGGAGGACAGAGTACAAGCGTGCAGGAAGAGCGGGTTGGAGGGAGGGTAAGGGGGTGGAGACGAACAAGGGCAAGCAGGTAGGGAGACAAAGCGTAAGAAGGGGTGAAAAACTCAGAGAAAGGAGGGTGATACGGTAGCATAGAAAACAACAAAGGAAGGAGTGTAAGGGGGGAACAGTGGGCAAGACGCAATCAAAGAGAAAGCAGGCAAAGGAAAAGCAGGGACAGAAATGAAGGGAAAGAGAGGGAGAAACGAGGGGAAGCAAAGGGAGAAAAGATTGGAAGCTGGGGAGGTAATGAGAGGGAGCAGGGGAGGTAGTGAGAGGGAGCAGGGGAGGTAGTGAGAGAGAGCAGGGGAGGTGATGAGAGGAAATGAGGGGAAGGAGTGGGGTGAACAAGGATGAGGGGGGGAACGAGGGGAAGCAGAGGGGGAAATGAGGTGAAGGAGAGGGGGGGACGAGGAGAAGGAGAGAGGGGGACGAGGAGAAGGAGAGGGGGGAACGAGGGGAAGGCGAGGGGGAACGAGGGGAAGGAGAGGGAGATGGATGGGTGGAGGAGAGGGATGGGTAACAAACGGGGGGAGGGAGAGGGGATGTGAGGGAGAGTTGTGTCTGATTTCGCTCACAGCTTTAGACGGATGCGAAGGGGAGGCAATGGATGGGCAGGTGAGAGAAGGGCAGCGGGAGCGGAGGCAGTGAGGGAAACGGGGGGAAGGAGGGGAAGCACGGGGGGGAAAGGAGGGATGCAGTGGGGGAAAGGAGGGGAAGCAGTGGGGGAAAGGAGGGATACAGTGGGGGAAAGGAGGGGAAGCAGTGGGGGAAAGGAGGGGAAGCAGTGGGGGAAATGAGGGGAAGCAGCGGAGGAAAGGAGGGAAGCAGTGGGGGAAAGGAGGGGATGCAGTGGGTGAAAGGGGGGGAAGCAGTGGGGGAAAGGAGGCGAAGCAGTGGGGGTAAGGAGGCGAAGCAGTGGGGGAAAGGAGGGGGAGCAGCGGGGGAAAGGAGGGGAAGCAGCGGGGAAAAGGAGGGGAAGCAGCGGGGGAAAGGAGGGGAAGCAGTGGGGGAAAGGAGGGGAAGCAGGGGGAATGGAGGGGAAGCGGTGGGGGAAAGGAGGGGAAGTAGGGGGGGAAAGGAGGCGAAGATGTGTGGGAAAGGAGGGGAAGCAGTGGGGGAAAGGAGGGGAAATCAGGGGATGGAGAGGGGGAACGAGGGGAATTAGAAGGGGGAAATGATGGGATGGAGAGGGGGGAACGAGGGAGAGCAGAGGGGGAAATAAGGGAAAAGAGATGAGGGAACGAGGGTAAGCAGAGGGGGAAACAAGGGGTAGGAGTAGTGGGGGAAAAGAGAGAGGGAGGGGGGGAAATGAGGGAACAGGGAGGGAAAATGAGGGGTCCGGGGAAGGAGGTTGGACGACGGGCTCCCCGCGTTCATGGCGGTGCGCCCATTCAACGGTGGCAAGCAGCGCGTGAGGCGAACGCCTCGCGGAGCGCAACATTTTGGGCGAATTCGACATTCGCCCGGAGACGCGAGCAGCAGGTGAGGCCAGCAGAGGGTGAGCGTGAAGTCGGTGACGTGCTAAGAGAGGCGAGCTATGGGTTCGAGAAGCACTTGCCTGCACTAAAACTTGAGAGGAATCGCAGTGCGTGAGCGGTGAGGCGCTATGCGGTGAGGCGCTCGCTTAGCGATCGTGCGCTTTTCGCTGTGAGGCGCTTAGCGGTTAGGCACTAAGCGGTGGGGCGCGCAGCGTGGCATTAGGCGAGTCGCGGGTGACGCGCTAAGAGGGTGTCGTGAGCTGCGGGTTCGGCGATCGAGCTGCAGGTTTCGCGAGAATATCGCCAGCGAGGAGAGCGCACGGATGCGGCGTGCCTCTTCGAATGCTATTCCTACATCGCGTTCGATGTCAAACTATATGGGTTATCTTTGTGTAGGCTGTAGTGGGGTAGCCAATATGGGGTATATAACTGCTAGGGCTTCATACTTGTACCCAACTCTGTTCTAGTTCAATCATTCCTGTCTCTAGTTTCTGACATGCGATGCCTTAGAACGACTCTATTCATGAGAGAGTAGGGTGTTGTATAAATGCTTACTCAATCATCTCGCGAGCCAGCCTTGTGACACGTGTCCCCTTACCAACAACGGGTTTCTTAGTGGTACCGCTACTCCTTGGCCCCAATTAGTCACCTTTTATATTGCCTGTGGGAAGGCATTTCCTTAGTGTCTGAGTGTCACTCAGGTGTTGGGTGACGGGAGAGTTTCTCATGTTCGCAACTAACAGCCTTCCAAACTTCCGCCGACCCTCTCGCCAAGCCTGTTCGTTTTCGTTGGTGGTGGGTACTGTTCCAAAATCAACAGTACTTTCAAATGTATACTGCTGCTTTAAACATGCATATTCATACGAATTTATACCGGCATGAAATATGTGGAAAATCAAACGTAAAATGATATACATACTTGATAATTCATATGCAGATAATTGGCTTGTCTAATTAAACGGATAAACATGTAGAAGTATGTCAGGAAGACAGATTATTGAACAGGTTTCGCCTGATGTCAAAATCTGTGTTATTCTTTGCACAGATTTCTACAAAACTATTGTAGCTTAGAATTCGCATGGAAAATAATGCCCTGTAAAATCCGGACATTTACCGGAGGCTCAGGATGCTTATAATCTTAGGGCGTGTGTGGTCTTCAAAAATTGTAAAATATTATGTTTTTAGGGCGAATATTGCGAAACGAACTTACGTCGAATTCGACTTCCCTTATATCAAAGTTCGAACATCAGGTCTACAATACCGTAAAAAAGCACAAACACATACAAGGTCGAACCCCTACATTCAGACTAAAAAAGAAGAAGAAGAAGAAGAAAAAAAAACAAGAGGCGACGGAAGTCGTCGTAGGGTTGCAAAGCTTTTTCAAATTGGAAAAACAATCGCTAAAATAAGTTCTTGGTAAGGTGATGTCCAAGAGATTCGAACCTAAAACCATTCGGATCTTAGTTGACATTCAATCGACTGAGCTACATACCCCGTATCAGTTCGCGCGTTTTAACTTGACGTGAAGTATCAACGAAATGCAAAATAGTGAACCCGGGGCCAGCTTGAAAGAGGGCCTGCCGAGCGAAACATTTTTTTCTCGTTTTCACTGTTTCATTGGGAGCATTTGTGCAGATCGAACACACCTGATTGGTTCCCGCCAAACCAAAAAAGGCAACACAGCACGTCAAACGTCGCACATCTGTGTGGAAAGTTGCACAACACTAACTCTGCGATCGCTCACGCACGTCCTTGCGATTTTGGGCCCAGCTTGGGGTTCAAGTTGGGCCTGGGTGAACTACTAGTTTTTCCGATCATTCATCTCTGTGTTTTAGTTATAACTAGCCACCCTAGCTGCTGCTGAACCATCAACTTAGGCCGGTGTTGTTTCAATTTAGACGCATAGTGAACCTCTCAGGGTTGTGTAGTACTCTGTGCCGTTTCGAACGCCCTCTCGCCGCCTTCCCATCGCATCTCGCTCGCCCTCCCGTTCCGATCGTCCTCACGTCGTTCCGTCCGTCGCCGTCCCGTCGTCTTCCCGTCGCCGTCCCGTCGCCGTCCCGTCGCCCTCCTGTCGTCGCCCCGTCCCTCTCTCGTCACCCTCGTAATGCCCCTGTTTGTCCCATCGCCATCTCCATTACCCCTCTCCTCCAATCACCCTCGCGATGTTCCCACCTACCCAGTCGTCCATCGCGTTCCTACGTCGCCACGTCACTCTGCCTCTCACATTCGCTCTCCCTTTCACCGTCGCTGCAGGTGTCACCCTTCCGCTCTCCCTTCCTATCACCCACCTCGTCGGCTACTATACCTCCCTTTGCAGCCCGTCCCCTCGCTATATCGTTGCCATTCGCCTCGCCATCTCCCTTCGCTGCTCGTCACCTCGCTTCGCTACATCCTTTCACTTCCTTTTTCACAAGTTAATGTACGGTATTGAACCCTCGGGTCGTCCTCGCGATCTTCCCTTCCACCCCGTCGTTCTTCCGCTGTCCGCTCCTCTCACCATCTCCCCTCCCTTACCGTCAGTCTCACGATCGCGATTCCCTCCCCCCCGTCGTTCGTCCCTCCTCCCTCCGTCGTTATTCCTCTCTCCGTTCCCCTCCGCCGTTTTTCCTCTCTCCGCTACCCTCAGTCGTTTTCCCTTTCTCCGCTCCGTTCGTCGTTTTTCCTCTCTCCGCTCCACTTCGTCGTTTTCCCTCTCTCCGCTCCCCTCCGTCGTTTTCCCTCTCTCCGCTACCCTCCGTCGTTCTTCCTCTCTCCGCTCCCCTCCATCGTTCTATGCCTCCCCGCTCCCCTTCCGTCGTTTTTCCTCTCTCCTCCCATATCATCGTTCTTCCTCTCTCTCCTACCCTCCCGTCGTTCTTCCTCTCTCCCCCCCAATCCCATTCATCCCAGACGTTCCCTTCCCAATGACACTTTTTTCTCTCTGTTCGCGTCACTTCGTGGCATGTGTCATTTTCCCCCAGCGTTCATTTTTCAGGGCTTCCCGGTCTTTCAGGCCCCATGTCTATGGCTAAGCTGGTCTCACAGCTCGGCTGCTCTCTACACACGCCACACACTCTTGTGGCATGTGCTTCTAAATCTGCTCTGCTGTGTTGCTCTGCGAATGTGGTGATGGTACGACATTTCCAGGGTGTGATGCATTGATTTTTGCGCAACCTTGCGCCAAATTCGCGCATCTATGTGCGACAAGTTTACCACCAATCAGCACTGTTAAAAAAGAAACCATCGTTCGCCGCTGAAAGAAAAAACACAAAGCACTTCCAACCTAACAAAAACTTCACAAGTGAAAGGAGAATTCTAGTTGGATCCAACTAGAAGGGGGGGGTCACTATTTTAGCTGCTGGCTTTAGTTGACATTCAATCGACTGAGCTACATACCCCGTATCAGTTCGCGCGTTTTAACTTGACGTGAAGTATCAACGCGACGAAGTTTGCATTCCCTAGGGTTTCATTTCTTCCCTTTTTTTCTCGCTGCTTCCTCTCCCCAGCAGCAGACGCTAGTTCTTGCTTGTCTTCTCTCCTAGACACACTGGTATGTTCGTTTTTTCCCTAGATTGCATCTTCGTCAGCTCAAGTATATAGTTGTCGCGATATAGTTCCCTTCAATTTCGTTTTCCAGCTATGACACTTTTTGGTTTTCTGGTCGTTATTTCGTTTTCTCAACTTTGATTTCCACCTCATTGCTCAGTAACGTAGCCGTTTTCCTTATTCCTTTCTCTTCCGTTTTTACTCGTCGTAGTTTTCGTGCATACTCTTTTTTCTACATTTTCTCGTTCTCGTTCTCTCTCTCTCTCTCATCTCTCTCTCTCTCTCTCTCTCTCTATCTCTCTCTCTCTCTCTCTCTCTCTCTCTCTCTCTCTCTCTCTCTCGCTCTCTCTCTCTCTCTCTCTCTATCTCTCTCTCTCTCTCTCTCTCTCTCTCCTCTCTCTCTCTCTCTCTCTCTCTCTCTCCCTCTCTCTCTTTCGTCGTTCTTTCTCTCGTTCTCCTCTCTCGTTCTCTCCTCGTTCTCTCTCTCTCTCTCTCGCGTTCTCTCTCTCTCTCTCGTGTTCTCTCTGTTGTCTCTCTCTCTTTCTCTCGTTCTCTCTCTCGTTCTCTTTCTCTCTCGTTTTCTTTCTTTTCTTCTCTCTCTCTCGTTCTATCTTTCTCTCGTTTCTTTTTCTATCGTTCTCTCTTTCTCTCTCTCTCTCTCTCTCTCTCTCTCTCTCTCTCTCTCTCTCTCTCTCTCTCTCGCTCTCTCGTTCTCTCTCTCGTTTGTTCTCTCTCGTTCTCTTTCTCTCTCTCTCTCTCTCTCTCTCTCTCTCTCTCTCTCTCTCTCTCTCCTCTCTCTCTCTCTCTCTCTCTCTCTCTCTCTCTATATCGTTGTTTCCTGTTTTGTTACTTGCTCTGTTTTTGCGTTCTGTTTTTTAACGTTATAGCGTTGTTCATCATTTTTTACCTTACCACCATTAGATTGCATTCTGTTTGGTTATTATAATATTCTCCTCATTTGACTTACTTTCTTTTCAATTTTCTCCACATTTTGATAATTCTTTTCTTCTCTCCCCTCTTCCTTCTTTCCCTCTCCTTCATTCGGTGCCTATTTGTTTTTCCAGATTTCCTTCTGGCTTTCGTTCCAGATGTGTACATCTGCCAAGATTACTTGTGAAGTGGATAGTAGTGGTAATCTGTAGGATTGTTTTGTATTGCATGTTTTGTTGTTTTTAGAGTTTTTTTCATTTACGGTTTTTTTTTTTTCCGTTTGTGTGAATGTGTGTGATCTTGTATATGTGTTTGTATGTGTGTGTGTGCCTTTGTGTGTGTGTGTGCTGTGGCTGTGTGCATTCATCCGTATCCATTGCAATAACAACGCACGTCTTTGATCTTTAAAAAGAAATCTCAAATCTATCATTTCACAAAAGGTTCATTGGCGCACTCAGTGACTCGTGTGCGACCACTTCGAACTGGATTTGATAGAGATGACTTT